TTTGTAAAGCTTAATTTAGGAAGTGGTAAATAATGGATAGAATTGGATAGAATGGTAAATATTCCCAAACTTATCAAGAACCCTTACTCACCTTTACTTTCAAAGTGTGAGGACAGCCAAATACCCCTCAGATTGACGGTTTCATTTCACCTTCTTTCAAAAGTAACTTAAGAGAATATCACATGGTTCATAAATTTTTAAGGAAACGAGACAGTAAACATGAGGTGGCTGACCCACTTTACTCCCAGCAGCTGAGTGGAGCTTGATTTTTAAGTGCCCATATTGCAGCAATATGTCTTGGCTTAAACTCTGCTTATTGAGGTTTAAGCTAAGGGGTGATATTGCACAGCAGGGAGAAGATAAAGTCCTACATGGGGTTATTTAGAGGGATTGAGCTGGAGGAAGTTGACTCAGTGGGCACAGTCACATGCTTGCATTTGGTCAAGAATATTCATCTCTCATGCTCTGTGTTCAGTAGAGTCCTCTGGTATGAAGCAAACCTTGTCTTCTCCCCAGTGTGGAGCCCAGGTACTCTCTTTTTGGGATGAAGGGCTATTTGCTGAGTTGGTGAAAGGTTTCAGAGGTTTGGTGTTCTTAATAAAAATTTTAGTTTAGATTATTATATTAAAATAGCATCAGTGGCAGGAAGTATTTCAATTGGAAAGGTCCAGTAGACTTTGTTTTCTGCAGAATTATGTCCATTCTATACCTGACACTACAGAAGGGAATATTCTTTTAAGAAAACAACCTGAAATCAAAAGTTAAAGTCTTGAAGTGCAGGAAATGCCCTAGAATCATGTTCCAAGGACAATAGTTCTGTTTAGTGCAAAATCACTAATACTTTCAAAAGCGGTTACTAACCATCTGCCTCAACAACGCCGTAGGTTGAAATGAAGCTTGAGATTCAAAGCCCCTTTCTCTCATTCCATTTGATTTGTCAAATAAATGTGGTAAATTGTTTGATAAATGGCTGCTGAAATTTAAACCTCTTGTGGAGTAGATTGTGGCCCTTTGGCTAAGAGGAAGAAGAAAAGTTGAACTCTACAGAGACTGAGGAAGAAGGTCTGGGACATGGTATCCATGGAGAAGCACACAAACAGACTTTTTCTCTTTTTCTGCAAATGAGGTTAGCAATGGTTTTTCTTTGATTGATTGATTTTTGTTTTAAGATTTATATACCCATAACTACTGCCACTAATAAGCGTGTATGTTGGTGCAATGCCCAATCATTTCAACCTGATGAGAATCATTCCAACGCTCCTCTACAAAATGATGATAGTCTTTGCTTCCTATTATCCTGCAATACTTGGTATATTTTTATTACACTGGAAACCTTGGCACAAGTGATCTGTCTATGGCTGCATTTACAGCCAACCATTCTTGTTTTCAAGGAGTTGAACATTAAGATGTTTGCTAAGTAGGATGAATTTCCTTATACCTCAATGATATTTAAAATAATCCTTTGGATCATTCGTGCAGTTTCTCCTCCAATTGAAATGGATTCCCTAAGCCTTGTGAAACTGTGGGCTGATTTATTTCAGACTCATTTCTTCCAGAAACCCTTCTACTTCTCAAAAATATTTTTAATGTAATACCTACACTAGTGTTCTTCACTTGAGCACTCAAAAGGAGTGAAGTGTCATTATCTTCAGCTTTCCAAGCAGACACAAACTAATACAGAAAAGGAATTCATCTCACTCAACTTCAGCCATGTAGAAGTTAAGCATCTGGTCTAAGCCTGCTTTATGTAGGCTCCTTCTGTAGTCCTCCTAGAGAAACATCCCTTCAGGATTGATTAATCCCATCTCAAAAAGGCACTTCTCTTAGAGGGGTACAGTTTACCCTCTGGAGATGCTTTGGCTGGGGTGACATCAGAAGGATGTGAAAGGGCAACAAATAGTATTTAGGTATCCCAGTTTCTTAATCCAGCACCTCTAATCCCTGTACAAGTACACAAACAACTGAGAACATAAATTGTTCATTCTAATACTGTGGGTTTTATGCAAAGTTTTGTGATTTTATGCTGCTTATTTCATTTTATATATGTTTATTTACATATGCATGTATTTAATTTTATTGTATTCAGTTTTAAATAGTAGCAACAGCACTCAGCAGACTTCACTGCAGTGTTTTCAGGGAGTGGCCAAGGTGGGCAAGGGCTGAGAATCTAGAATTTTTGCTAGAACTATTGTGTGTCCAGAGGCCACTCTACATCTTACAGATCCATTCTTATTTTGTTCTCTGCATGTGCATATTATAATTTATACAAGTATCATGCCCTGGTAAAAGATAAGTGCCTGAGCTGTTTTAGATCTTCTCTCAATATGCTGTGACTATGTGCACATTTACCTGCACAGTAATCTATGCATGATGACTATGAGACCTCTTGATTGCCATCACTGTCTGGATGCTGGAAGCATTTCTTGTGCTCTTACGTTTGTAATTCTGTGTCTTCAAGGTATGTAGCAATTGCATGCTAACTTCTGTTTCTCTATCTGTTGGTAGTTAAGGAAAGTTGCGTTTTAAAGCAGTTGTGTGCCCAAACTTCCTTCTTTTCTGAAAGAGAGAATTGTATAAGGAGACATTTTTAGATTCATGTCTTTGATGGACTTACAGACACTACAGACTTCTAGGGTGTGGGAAAAGGCTTACAAAATAACATGCTACTGCTACTCATCCACTGTCTTATAGATGCCTGTCTTTCTGAAACCCATACTCAAGTGCATGTTTTTCTCTTCGAATCAGTGAGTTAAAAGAAATGAAATTATAATTTGCCATGGACATCATTGCCCTGTTAACATTCCATCCATATTTTCGTATTTCTGTTTATATATCAGGAAAGCAGTGACCTGTGGAGGCCAGAGAAGCAAACTAGTAAGCAGGGAGAAAAATGGACTCTTCACAGTTCCCGATCTAAGCAGGGGGACTTTCCAAAGACGGAACTGCCTTCAAAAACAGTGTCACTGAACTGGCAGGATCAGCCAACTGCATCAGCCAGTGAGTCCACCTTTCCCAGTTTCAAACCCTGACCACCAAAGAGACCAGGGTTGTACACCTTTGGATTAGTAAGAAACTGAAATCATGAAGGACAAGCCCAGCTATGCAATGCAATTAATGGACAAATTCTTATCCTTCACTTGCACTGAGTGACCCCTTACTGAAAGCAGTAGGGCTGCTTGGGAAGAGAGGCAATTGGGCTAAGAGAGTGAAGGGAAAAGCAACTGCTGCAATTTCCAACCCTGCAAAAAGAACCCTGACTCTACAGTTACATAAATGGATTGCCAGTGGTAAAGGGATTCGTCAGCAAGGATCTGGTGCTGCAGTAGGACGCTGGAGGACTGAAAGATATAGCTGCATATGCTCCTTAGCAGCAGTTCCTGTTAAGTAAAATGAGTCCTGTGTGTAAGGGCTGTACTCTGACAAATGGCCTCACTTCCCTACCCTGGGTCCCACCCTGTGAATAATGGGAGAGTTATAGCAGATATTCCAAGAGCAGCCGAGCAAAGCATGTTTACTTTCAAAACAGTGTTCCCTATGGATAAGCACTGAGCCTACTTGGCACCTGCATGAGGAAGTTTGCTCTGATTATGATCTGACTAAACAAAATAATTTGGGGCTTAATGTATGCAAAGCAGAGAGCCTTTTCCTAGTGCTTGTGCAAACTGAAAGGAGAACTGGGCAGCTTCAGGTAAGGTGTGACCACAGCAAGCCCTTAGTGGAACCAATACATGATTGATTACTGTCATTTTAAGGAGGCTGAGTGTTGGTTATGGAAAGTGCAGCTTGCAGGGCTGAAAAGGTAACATATTTTCGCTCTGCTCTGTTCAGATAAATGAATGTTGCCAGAATTCAATGGGAGGCTGCTGATACTGGACCTGTAACCACCTTGTCCAGGAGCATGGAGAGCCATGAATGTAACAGTACATACAGATCTGTACAGACAGGAGGTGGAAAGCAAAGGGCACTTTGTGGACAGCCAATGTAATGCCTTTCCTGAGCAAGTGAAAAACAAGAAAGGGAGCACATAATTTTCTTTAGCATAAGAAAGACTTCCAAATAAGAACTGAATTTGGAGACCAAGTCTAGCACATATTAATTTGCAAGTAATCACCAGGATACTTTAACCACTAGAGCATTTGGTTTAAGAATAAGGGAATCACATGCAACACGTCTGCTAGTGTCTGTATAGTAGTAACGTGGGCTGCCTTTCTTTTTATAGTAAGATTTTTCTGCTCATCTGTGCAACTAACCCTTTAAAACTCCCAGATCTGAAGACAGTCAGAGAAACTCTTTCTGAGAGCATTCACATAAACGTTTTTCTGGAGAAGGACGCTATTTTTAATAAGCAGCTGCTAAATGGATCAGTGCTCCTGCCAAAATTGAGGCTACACATGTGGGTGTCCTGCAGAAGCACAGGGAAAAAGTCTAAGTTGAATTCCACAAACTAGACTAAACTAAACCTAACTAAACTAAACTAAACTAAACTAAACTAAACTAAAATAAAATATGCAGGGCAAGGCCTAGGTTCCAGCTTAAGATACAGGAGGTGGAGGTTAAGTCCAAGCTCTGCCAGATCTGAAGGACAGTTTTTCATTGCTGAGTGATCCGAATTATGCCGAGTAAAACTTGAGAACTTGGCCAAGATGAAGCATTATCTCACAGCTGAGCAGAGAACCACTCTCTTAGGAAACATAGCAATGCAATTCTGAAAAATTTTCCTTTCCTGAAAGTGTTATAAGTAGCTCTAGTTTACATTTAAAATGCAACTATGTGTGTCAAGCTACCCAGCTGATGTGCTGGGTCTCCATAGGGAAGGTAAGGCTTCTGTGTTAAACTGCTTCTAGTAATGTGTCTGAGGAGTCTGAATCCATAAAGTCACTGAAGCCACCCTAGCCCACAAAGAAAGACAGGGGAAGTCCCCCATGACCTGTATCAGTATCACCACGACAAGGTATCTGTGGTTTAAATTTGTAAAAATCATGATCCTTTATTAATCACAATATTTTTTATTTTTCTTTACAGCAGAAAAAGAAACTACAGAAGAACAAAATGCAGTGGAGTTCTTCTTCACTTACTAGAGAGGAGAGTGGAAGCTGAGGCCCAGGTGTCCAACAAAAAAACACCATTAGAGAAGTTGTAGGCTTCAGAGCAAGAAGGCTGTGTCACTGATTAAAGCATCAGAGCTGCCAAAGGAGACCAAACAACTACCAGCAAAAGAAATCAGAAGCAGAGCAGCAGGTGACAATGAAACAGCTGGGGGTGCCCAAGGCCTTGGTTGAAGGCCTTGAAGGTTGAATCTTGATTGATCTTGGTTTAATATCCAGTGCTGTTCATGAACTCTGAAAGAGCCAGAGAGGCATGAGATGAAGATGCAGAGATCATTGATGACAAAATCTAAAGAAGAGGAGAAGAGGGATGGTCAGGCAGCAATGCAGGTGGAATTAGGCTGAGCAGCTGGAGAAGGAGTGGATGGCAACCGAGAGAAACCAGAATGAAGGGCAGGTCAAAGGAAATCTTGTTGGTGGTTGAAGAGTAGGACACAATCAATACAGCACTGAGCTGGTTCACCAGAGTACTACAAACCAAATGGGTGGTTTCAAGACAGAACTCTTGACAGGTAGTGCTGTAATTCCCGTTAGCCAACCGCCCCAGCTGCTGGCAAGTGGCTGCCAGGCACAATGTCAGGGTGAAAAGCAATGAGCTGAGTTCATGTTACTGAAATCGAATAAAATTTGATTTTATTACAGGGGCTGATTTATTATAATACTTTTTTTCATGAAACAGCAAATATTCTATGTCAATTCTTCTTATAATCATAAGAAGTGGAGCCTGAAGAAACATAAGAGGCAGGCAGGGAAAACAAGGTTTTACTGGCTGGAAAAGTGGCTACAGCCAGGTGGATCATGCCAATTGTCCCATGTAAGCACTAAAAGTCTTTTATCACATCCCATTTTAAAAGTAGTTGTAGAACGAAATTAAATGACATGTATACTGCCTTTCTATCTCAACACTTCTGTAGCCAGCCTTTCTTAGGAGTATGATCTTAGATAGAAAGAAAAATAAGAACTAATTTTTTTATTATTTTTAGAAACCCCTATAACTGACCATCAGTGTTGGTTGGTGTTGTTTGTCTGCTTGTTTTTTACAGATGTCCATTATTTTTTTAATGGTAGGAGACTCTGGATGACTCTAGAAACACGGGACTTTAAACACAACTTTGCAGAGCTTTAGCAATATCAAGCAGTGTAATTTTAGTAGAATATACACACATGGATGGGAAATGAAGAGATTTGTTCTTAGGTAGTTGAAAAGTGATGTATAATCCAACAGCAGCATAAAACTGACATAATCAAAGTTATTTCAAATTATCAAATATATCTGTAGTCTGCCACAGGTATTCTACAGCATACTGTATATCAGTATATTTTTCCTGGGAAACTTTCGAGACTTTCTATGTTTTAATTAAATAGTTTTGCTTTCTGTTAAATCTTACTCCCCAGAACTCAAGCTGAATTTGAATTAATTCCATGGTCTTTTGTTAGGGGACTGCAGACTCCACATCAATGTAACACATTGACTGTGTTAATGGTGGCAGCAGAGCTGCTCTTTCATGAGAAATATCACAAAAATGACATACAACATTAAGAAGAAGGAAAAAAAAAAAAAGAGAGAGAGAGCAAGGAGCTATGCCGAAAGGCTTTGTTATTCACATTATGAGGATTTGCACTGTGTAACAGCTTTCCTTCACTGCTGGCTTTCATATTTTGATGATGTAGCACTTCGTCCTTATTATCCGTGAGATGAGGTTTGTGAGACGTTCATAGCTGAAGTCTGCAGACCAGATCATTCAAGATTTTCTGTGGGACTGATTCTGCACCAGGAAAATTGATGTGATTTTTATTGCTGGCTTCTCAGGACATCTGATGCTTTTATCTTAGAAAATGTTCATATGGAACAAAGTTTAAAGTACTTTTGATATTACATTTTGTTGTCCTAATATACTAAAAGAAATGAAATGTGCCGATGTTAGGATAGGCTTAGATGTATATTAGACTGTATAAAATTGTAGCCTTTGAGCAGTAGCCTGCAAGTTGCAGGCAAGAATAGCAAAAAGTGGCAAGAAAAACTAATTTTTAAAAACACATTTATATTTATTGAAAGAGAGGCTGTTTGTGCTGGTAACACACCAGACACTTTTAGAATATGAGAAGAAAACTAGTGAAACATTCTCTGAATACTGTTGAAATACAAAAGGCCTGGCCCAACTCCTTCCTTCTTCCTTCCCTGTGCAAGAAATAGCAATAAATAACATTGAATTTTTCCTTGCTCTCCTGGTCAGGATATAGCTTTCAGTTGATATTTTGAAGTGTTATATAAATTTGAAACAGAAAATATTAATCTCTTAATATTGATTGAATAATAACCATATATAAAAAAAAAAAAAAAAGTTTTCTCTACTTTTAGACACGTTTTTCCCTGTTGTCAGCTGGTTCTATTCTGTGGATTTCTGGGGAGATGGGTTGAGAAACCATCCCTGGGCTATGCAAAATGGGCCAGGGTATTGCATTGTCTTCAGAGATCATTCCTTTATTCCTGTCACTGCTTGTATTGTATTGTATTATATTTATTATATTTCTGGTGTTAAACCTGCTAGAATGTTATGGCCAAACTGAACAAGCACCTATAACACCAGCGTTTGTGACAATGATTAAAACCACAAATCTCTGCTTTGCTCTAAACTACATTTCAAGGTCTCCTGCTGTGCATTAAAAAAAAAAAAAAAAAAAAAAAAAAAAGAGAGAGAGAGAAAAAAAAAAAAAAAAACTTGTCATGGTGATACAGAGCCACAGAACAGATCTTGCAATAGGTCTTTGCTGCAGCACTGAGTATGGGAAGGGCTGCAGGAGCAAGCAGGCATCTGGAACAGCAGCCCAGGGCTCCAGAGTTCCCTCAGGCACTGTCTGCCTGACTGTGTCTTGGCAGTTTCCTGGGGCCCTGCACAGCTCCAGCAGCCCTGACCTCCCTGGTCAGGCACCATGGAAGAAAAGTGAAGTGTCAGCAGTCAGCTGGCTCTGGTCACTGTTAAGAAGTCCCCCTGTAGGCCATGGAGTTGGGTTTTATTGGCCATGAGTATCCACCTGTCATGCACCAGAAATCCCTTTACAAGCCTTGATAAATACAAAATTTTGAGCACCACTACAGAAATGCTGGGAACTCATATTGAGACTGACTGTGCTTCAACATGGAAAAACAAATGTTTGGAGATGCTTACTCTTTACGTGGAGAGCTTTGTTTTGAACCAGATGCCCCTGAGATTCATTTCACATCCCAGGGCTTCCCACAGCCAATGTTCAGTCTCCTGATGAAGGCAGTGCATGATTAAGGGACTCTTAAAATAAAAGAGGATACAGGTATCACTCTTCATCTTTAGCATGCCCACATCTCTTGAGATACAGCTTGATGAAGATGATCTGAAGAGCAATCAGGTCCTTATGGAGCAAAAGGCTTTAAGCATGAAAAACTGAATCTGACTATTTTGACATTGTCCCTAGATACCTGCAATTTGCCAGAAACTCCCTAGATACAGTTATAATGGCCTCCAAAATGGATGCCATCAGCAATCCCTGACAGGTTTCCAGTACTGAGCATGTTTAATTCTTCTAACATAAAGTATGTCATTAAAGGAGCTCATGCCATTTTGTGATTGACAACGATATAGGACAAAACCAGCAAGTTTCACATGAGCTCTGCTGTGTTGTCAGAGGACCAGAGTTCCAGCAACAACAATCATTTATTTTTCAGACTAATAAAAAATAAATAAATAAATCCAAATGCAATTAAAAAGAATGACATCAAGAGTAAAATCCTTGTAAAACCAGCATTAGGGAATTGCAGTGACAATGACAGGGTATTTTAGTCTCAGACGGTAGCTTGGGCAGTATTGATAATGCTGCTTGCTAATGTAAGCAAACCGCAAGTGACAAAACAGGACTGAATTCACCCAAATTAGAAGCAGGTGCCACTCCATGGACTGCATTCCTTAAACCAGACTACATCTGTCTTAGCTCATCTCTCATAACAAGGCTGGATATTGCTGACAGATCATTTTAAGCCCCAATCTTTCTATATGCAGAAGACCCCTTCTTTCTGTATGCATAAACATCCTTATAAATGTCAAGAGAATTATCCTGGCCAAGACCTTTGGTTGCTTTGACTTTCTTTCCCTGAATCACAGATAGCATCAGAATTAACTCCTAGGTTTGCTGAACCCAGAATTGCATGCTGGGCTTGACATCAACCCAAACCATCCCAGCAGCCACCAGTCAGAGCATCACCTCCTCCTGTGTTGCTCTATTATCTTCAGTTCTCTAAGGCAGGTGTTTCCATCTTAGTGTTTGTGATCTGTGGAGAGGTTAAAGCAAGCTAATGCAATCTGGTTCCAGTTCAACAGAGCTTGTAAGCACATAGCTTAATTTGATTGGAGTCCCTGGAACTATTACACTGTGTGTTATTAACCATGTGCTTACGTGCTTTGCTAGGCTGGGAAAGGACTTCCCAATTTTGTATACTGCTAGTAGACAGTAGCACTGTCTAGACAATGCCCAAAGCAACCATTGCTTTTCAGTAGTTGTTTGGTGGGAAACTTGCTTTCTCCATATGTTTTGTGACGAAACTTTGCCTGAATGTTGCAGAGAGCTCAAGAGCCCAGAATGCACAGGATTTGCACAAGTTATATCACCGGATCCTGCAGTCCCAAGCCCTCTGCTTTGCCATTTCTGATAGGAGAAATTTCAGAGGAGGCTAATTATATAGCAATTTCAACCAGCCAGCTAAGCTGAATTCCCTTTTCTGTTCTGTATTGCACAGCACAACTGAACTGAGTTAGCGCAAGTCTGTGTTGCCTACATGTTCTTATCAGCTGGGTCAGTTGCTTACTTTTCTGTGCCTCACAATGCCAAAACTAAAGATGGTGAATCCTCTAGTCCATGGATCTGCCTGAGGACTGCTCTAGCCTTTAATCTTGTTTTAAGTTTTCAATTATTCCATGCATAAAAGATGAGTGGGAAATAGTAGCAGTAGAAGAGCTCTTCTTGTATCATTTCAGGACATTCCTTCATGCTGAGCCCTGACGGGCCTTGTTACACACTTAGTAGGCGTTCTTCATCATGGATGCCTTGACAGCATCGTGAATGCCTTCTCATGAATGCCTACGATGAGGCAAGCAGGTGTTACTGCGACATATGCACCTCTGATGAACGTTCAAATTAACAAAGCATAAAAATAACAACAGTACCCTGAAACCTGCCACAGACCTTTACCCTATTAAACCCTAATACTGGAGTCTTTCCATGGAAAATATTTTTTTATTTTTTTTCTGAGAGAGTAGATATTAACATTACGGATTAAAACATACCAAAGTCATAAATCTCCATCAGAAAACTGATTGAGCTTTGATCATAGAGTTGTTGTGCTACAACACTGTCCTGTAAACTGGAAGAGAGAGGGATATAGTTTTCAAAAGCAGTAGGTTATAGCATTTGGGAAAAACAGTGTATTTTTTCTCTTCAATGTACAGGAAAGTGAACATTTCAGTGTGCATTTCCTGTTTGCTTGTGTCATTTCAAAAGAGCAATTGCAATTAAAGAAACATATGACTTTATTTTGTCCTTGAATGAGATTCCTGTAGTCCTCTGGTGTAATGCAGCTGGGCATAGCAAACAAAATCTTGTAAGCCATTTATCTAAGAATGGTGTCATATGAAACCAAAGAAAACTTATTCTAGCCATGTGTGCTGGTGCTGGATGTAGGGTGTATATGAAAATGTCCAATACCCATAATTAAACTCACATGGTTCAGCACAAAAATGGAAAGTGTATCAAAACTCTGGATATTTTGCTACCCTTTGGATGTTGTTTCTGATTCAGGTTTGTCCCTGACATTGACCCACCTAGGTTTCTGATGAACGTGTCAGTCATTTTCAGTAGAAACTAAAGCCTTCATGTATAAAGCTTTACTCTTATGTCAGCACAACAGTTGCCTCCCCAGACTGGTGAAATATAGCACATAAAAATGAACCAGGGTGTGTCAATGTGTGTGCATCTTTGTATGTGTGTGTACAAAGAGGTGCACTACAGACTGCTAAGTGGTTCTTTGCAGGAGGATCACACAGTTCTCTTGGAAGGGCAAGCTCTTTTTTATGCCTGATTTGGGAGGATAAGGTTATGAGAAAAATGAAGGAAACAATGCTGGAATATATGAATTTCAGAAATATAGAAAGTCAGGTAACTAAAATTAAATTACACACCTTTGAATTGATGCAGATAGGCTCCATTTCCAAGAGGCTTTTTGCAGATGCTGCAAACCTATGGGAGTAGGAGAACTGGAGCAGCCACAGGAAGGAAAAAAATAAAAAAAAATAAACAAACAAACAAACAAACAAACAAAAAAATGGGCCTCTGTGTCAGGCCCACAACATTTAAATTCTGGCAACCCCTTTGTAAGAGATCTTGCAGCAACAGAGAAGTGTAGCACAGGAGAGTGGGAGGATTTCTCCTATCATTGAAAACACAAATTCCCAAGTGGTTTAGTTCCAGTCTGACTCAGCCATATCAAGGTAATATAGTACACAGGGCAATCAGGAGTGATCACTGAATCATAGATCGCTGAGGTTAGAAAAGACCCCTAAGATCACCTAGTCCAACCTCTACCCTAGCACTGCCAAGTCCACCAATAAACCATGTCACTAATCTCCACATCCACACATTTTTTGAAAACCTCCAGGGATGGTGATTCAGCTGCTTACCTGAACCACCTCTTCCAATACTTAACAACCCTTTCAGTGAAGAAATTTTCCTAATATCCATCCTAAACCTCCCCTGTTGCAACTTAAGGCTGTTTCCTCTAGAAGAAAAAGGCCAATGGGATTTTGGTTATAGGTTACTCTTTAAAAAATGGGAGAAAAATGTGAACTGCCTTTTCTTCAATGTGTTTTCTGCTGGAAGTAGCTGAGACTGGGAGGAGTCTCAGGAGGGGAGACATCTTCGGGAAAAGCAAATGATTCCCATTGTATTTCTTGAAGGAACAATGAAATGAGAATAGTTTCTTTTCAATTTCCTTGCCACGAGAGAGACGAAACAAAACCAAAACACAACAAAACCGACAACAAACTACCAACAACAACACCAGGGCTTTCTAAGCGAAAAGGGTACAGAGCAAACATCATTTGGCTTTCTTATGGCAAATTTTGCATCTTTGAATTTGCGATCAGCTCACCGTGCAGCTGGAGCTGCCCCGGGCGCGGGGCGGTGCGGGGCGGGATCCGGGGGCTTTCCCGAGCCGATGCCTCCCCCTAGCGGGCTGCGGTGCCCTGGGGCCCGCGACCGATGCTTCCCAGGGAGCAGCTGGAACTAATTAATTAATTAATTAATTTTAAATATATATTATTTTTTTTTAAATAAATAAATAAATAAAATAAAACCGGGGAGGTTTGCGCCCTGATTTCCAGGCAAACCCTCGGAGGCTTACGCATGCAGACATAGCAGAAGCAGCACTTTTTTTTTCTTTCTTTCTGTTTTCCTTTGCCTCGTGCATTCTTGCATGCATTTGCGGATCTATTCGATGGTGCCTCCCACTGCTGGGATATGCCGGTGTCATAACAACTGCTGGCACAAACAGAAAGCTCTTGTCAGAGGCAAGCAGTGCGGGCTATCCAGCTGTAGGGTTGCTGTACCGTCTAATTAGAGGTCTCTCTGAACAAACACGCTCTTCCTCCAAACGTAACACTCACCAGGCACTGGCTATCCCACACAGCACGCTGAAGAAAGATCCATGTGCAAGAGCTTTCCCATGAGGTCATGTTGCCACTGTTTTCAGACACTAAAAAGCCCAGCAAAAGCTGTCCTGCAGACCCATCTTGGGTCTTAACTCTTAATCTCTCCTAGTGGTCAGTTAATTTTGCACAGTACTCATCCTGAAACAGTGATCCAAAACCCAACAGTTCATAACAGAAATTTTCCTAGTGGTCCTACACACATCCTCCTTGCCTCTCAAAATCCAAGAAAAGAGAAACAACCTGTTCTTCACTCACCCTGTGTTGCCATAAGTTCATGGCAACCAAATTCAGCACAGGGGCACTAGTGCCATCTGGTCAAATGAGCATATGGTGAAACTGGGAGCCTCTGAGGACATCTGCACATCAGTCACACGTCAGAGTTTGCCTGACCCACTGCTAGGGTTGCAATAAGAGTATTTGTAGTACCCCTTCACAGAAGGCACTCTCTAGGGCCCATGCTAATGGAGCATGTGTGCCCACTTCGAGTTCGACCCTAATGGGCTCTTGATGACCACTGACCCCTCAATTAAATGTTCCATGGAAATGTAGTGCAGGAGCTCCTGAGGCTTCATCTCAAGAGCAAAACCTATTTGAAAAGTTCTTCACAATCTCCCTGGAGCCACATCACCCAGCTTTCCATTTCTAGTTCCTAGCAGGTTGTTGGCCTTGAACAGCGCAATGTGGCAGGGTGATAGCAAACAAATGAGTGTTAGTACAAATAGTCTGGAGGATATAGCCATGGGCACTATAAAGACCTGTTAGCATCTTACACTGTGTTATTTTTCCCCAGGAGTAAATTTAGCCCAAATGTAATGTAAGAAGGGTAAGAAAGCACCACAAAAATAACTCCAGAGCAAACTCCTGCTTGCCAGTGCTGAAAATATTCCAGGAGTGTGGAGGCTCTTTTCAGAGAGTTTATTGCTTAACATAGGCAATAACGATTTATTTCAGTGTCTTCACGGTTAGGTATAATAGCCAAACAGAGGTATGAAAGACCCAAGCTGACACTCTGGTTGAAATCTATTGCTCTACCTAATCATTGTATAACCAGTCGCAGCTAAACAAGAAATCACCAGTGTGGCTATAAATTATGTATTTGCATAAATAAATAAACATGCAGTCTTACGCATTCAGCTTTCCCATAGTGTATGTGGTTTCCATGAGATGCTTTTGGGGGCTTCTGAATATTGTTTCTCAAACTCCTAAATCTTCAGTGACATCAGGATCATTAGCTTTCCAGCAGGTTAAAAAGCGTCAACATTTTGTTTTTCTGAGTCCAGAGAACATTTGTGTGCAGTTGGGCTAGATCAGTTTTAGAGAAAGGGATCCAAACTACATGGAAGAGGAAAGATTTGGATGAAAGACAGAAGAGATGCCCTGGACATCTGTGGTCATGAAATAACCAAGTATACTCCTTTACAAAGATAGGAGGACTCACCACAGTGTTCTGGACACTGCCCAATCCTGTCTCCCAAACCAAAACCTCTCCTGCAGCTTTACTGTAGTGCACGGTTAAAAAGCACCTGCTTTCCAGCCCACTGTGAACATAATTATTGCCATATATTCTCCTTTGTAACATGCTTTGTTATCTTTGGAGAACAACAGAAAATGTATACAAAATACGATGTTTATCCATAGATTTCATATTTTCCAGATGAACAGAGGAAACAGTAGGCTAATACGAACCTTTGCCATATGAACCTTTACATTTTGTTTCCTCCATCTCAGTCTCTTTGGTGTTTGTGGTGCTTTCCCTTTCTACTGTTGCTTCATACAATGGACAGACTTTGACAATTTGTGATTCCTTTTACAGGTTCAATGCAGCAAAGTGCTTTCAGTTCAGGCATGCCTCTCTTGATTTCAGGGAAGGATAAGCAAAGGTAAGGGCATTTGCACAAGGGACTGAATCACTCCTTCCAATTTTGCTCTGAATACTTGTAAGAGTTCATTTACTTACATTGAACGTGGGTCTGTAAGCATCTCCTCACCTTGGAAATGGCTCTTTGCCACAATTTATACCTACAGAGTGAAGCATATGGTTATTTTTCCCATTTCTTTCAAATTCATTGTATGAGAGTGCCAGCACCTTCACTCTAAGTGGAAACACAAAATAGCAGGAGAGAGAGGGAGGCTGGAGAAATCAACATTAAAAAGATATAGTGAAAGAATGAAAGACTTGGCAAATCTGTCCAGTTCATAGACGTTTTCTGTGGTGGAGCTTCAGAACCAAGCACAAATGTTTTAGTTCCTCTTCAGTGCAATCAACTGCAAGTTTTCTAATGTCCTTATTCCAGACATTCTCATTTTCCGTCTGCTTCCCCCTAAGCACACCAACGTAGGCTGTGATCAATGATAAATTCTCCAGAGGGCAGGGCCCGGTTGCCCATCACACATGTTCAGTCTGAATGTCTAGCTCCTGCTGCCTCACATCCACCTCAGTCCAGGAGACAGCCAACACCTTCCACAAGTGTTGTATCACCATGTCCTGCCTATCCTCTTGAATTCTGTCATCTTATGCCAAAAGAGCATGCAATGGCCAATCAATAACAAAAACTAAAAGAAGGCCTCAGGTCAGCTTTTCAGCTTCACCACATCACATCTTCCTGATGAACCTCCCCAGTGCCAGCCATTTACTTTACAGATTACTTTAGCTGTCACCTGCCTTAATTTCTTCTTTCACAGTTCCTTCCTGTTGGGGCTGATCTTCAAATGAGAGTGATTAACCTTCAGCCCGTGGAGTAGACCATCTGCAATAAACATTACCATGTTCATATGGCCAACACAAAGCACCTCTACACTTACTGTGTCTGATGTCACTACTTACCGGGGTTCTTGGTCACTACCTTGCACTCAACCGACTAAGCAAGGAACTTCAATTGTTAGTACTTCTGCTGGTACCTTGAGCCCCAGCTTGGCTACAGTCTCTGACTGGAACCACTTACATGACATGACTTATATACCCCACTGAAATAGAGAATTTGATATAAATGAAAAGCACAAAACCATAAAACAACAGAAAGCCCATATCACATTTATCAGTCTGATAGAAACCGGTCTTAAGTGATAAACATTTCATTTAATACTCTCTCCCATAAGATCCTCCTAGAGAAGCTGATGAAGTGTAGGATGGATGAGCAGATAGTGAGGTGGTCTGGCTGAAGGGATTGCTCTAGAGTGTGGTGATCAGTGGGACAAAGTCTGGTTGGAGCCAGGTAGAATGTTGCATACCTCAGGGATATATACCAGGTCCCATCCTATTTGACATCTTCATTAATGTTCTGGATGAAATGTGCCCTCAACAAGTTGGTTGATGATACAAAATTGGGGGAAGTGATCAATACATCAGATGGATCATACTTCTATCCACAGGGACATGGAGAGTCTGGAGAAATGGGCTGACAGGAACCTCCTGAAGTTCAGTAAGGGAAAGCATAAAGTCCTGCAGGGGGGGAGGAACAACCCCAGGCACCAGCACCTGCTGGGGGCCACTCAACTGGAAGGCAGATAGGCAGAAATGTCTCTGGGGATACAGGTAGACACCAAGCTGAACATGAGCCAGCAATGTGCCCTTGGGGCAAAGAAGGCCAATGGTGTCCTGGGCTGCTCGAACAGAGACTGGAGCAGGTGTCTTCCAGAGCTCCCTTCCAGCTTCAACCATCCTGTGATTCTGTGAAACCTGGCTCCTTTTTTAAGAGTCTGATCCTAAAATGACTTCTTCAAAGGAACAGTTTATAACCCTAAGAGCAGACACAATGGAAGTTTCTCACACACTTCCCTTGTCAAAATCTTGCAGGTTCAGGACCATGGTCTAAGGTAGTACCAGTCACACATCTCTACAGCCAAGCCGAGTCAATGTCACCTAGGTCTGGTCCAGTAACTCTTCTCAGGTGGGTGCTTTATTTTTTCCCACTAACTCCCTGTTCCTTTGTGTTCATACAGTTTTCTTCTTAACAGCATTTGAGAAGGGACAGGGTGAATTCCTCACCTCTGGTTCCTCATACATTGGTCACTCCTTCCAGATTGTCCTGTCAGGTAGATTTAAATAGTGACCACAAAATGGTAGAGTTCTCTATTCTTGGTGAGGCCAGGAAGGGGACTAGTAAAACTGCTATATTGGACTTCCGGAGGGCTGACTTTGAGCTGCTCAGGACACTGGTTGGCCGAGTCCCTTGGGAGGCGGTTCTGAAGGGCAGAGGAGTCCTGGAAGGCTGGACACTCTTTAAGAGGGAAATCTTAATGGCACAGGAGCGGTCTGTCCCCACGTGCCCAAAGACAAGCTGGCGTGGAAGAAGACTGGCCTGGCTCAACAGAGAGTTGCAGCTTGAGCTTAGGAGAAAAAAGAGGGTTTATAATCTTTGGAAAAAAGGGCAGGCCACTGAGGAGGACTATAAGGATGTTGCGAGGCTGTGCAGGGACAAAATTAGAAAGGCCAAAGCTCATCTGGAGCTCAATCTGGCTACTGCCATTAAAGACAACAAAAAATCTTTTTACAAATACATAAACGCAAAATGGAAGACTAAGGAGAATCTCCATCCTCTACTGGATGCGGGGGGAAACCTAGTTACAAAAGATGAGGAAAAGGCTGAGGTGCTTAATGTCTTCTTTGCCTCAGTCTTTAGCGGCAATACTGGTTGTTCTCTGGATACCCAGTACCCTGAGCTGGTGGAAGGGGATGGGGAGCAGAATGTGGCCCTCACTATCCATGAGGAAATGTTTGGCGACCTGCTATGGCACTTGGATGTGCGCAAGTCAATGGGGCCGGATGGGATCCACATGAAGATACTGAGAGAACTGGCAGAGGAGCTGGCCAAGCCACTTTCCACCATTTATCAACAGTCCTGGCTATTGGGGGAGGTCCCAGTTGACTGGCAGCTAGCAAATGTGATGCATATCTACAAGAAGGGCTGGAGGGCAGACCCAGGGAACTATAGGCCTGTCAGTTTGACCTCAGTGCCAGGGAAG